GCTCCAGAGAGCAGCGACAGTGCCTTTGGATCTGCTCAGACACAGGGCCCACGCAGGGCTCCCATCCCAGCCTCCCTGCAGCCCCGGCTCCCCCAGCCAAGGAGGCAGAGCAGCAGTTGGTCCCGGCCCCGTTCCCACTCTCTCAGTTCCTGCGGGGCGTCGCCGCTCTCGCTTTGACAGGAGCTCGTGTTCTCCCCGTGCGTTCGCCTGACTTTCACAATAATATATTCAGCAGAACTGGATACGTTTCAAACCAGCTATTACACCACAGTATGTTCCAACACAAATATATGCAGCGTAGTGCAGCAACAACTCTTCTGTGAGCATCACGCAGATTGCAGGAACCCCACTGCTCCCTGCCCGCCCCACCTGCCCCGGCCAGAGCAGCAGCACCAGCAGCAGGAATTACTCAGAGAGAATAAACCTGATAAAAATTTAAGTGGGAAACCCCCACACGTTCCAATCACCTGCCCAGCACCAGAACAGATGGGCAGTTCCTGGCGCTTTCCTCAGCCCCGGCAGAACCGCGGTGCCCCCATCACCACCCACACCCCAGCAGAGCCCCACACGTCCTACTGCACCACAGACACCCTGCCCAGGCTGCAGGGGGAGCACAGGGAAACACAGCACTAACCCCATCCAGATGGAATGCTGAGTAGGAAGTGGAAATTTTTCCTCTTTCTCCCCACAACAAGCAAAATGTAACACAAATTACAGTGAGTTTGCGGGGGCAAACGTGGTTTCTTGCAAGAGCTGGAGTGCTGGAGTGTGGGTGGCAGCGTCACCTCATCCTGGCTGCTGGCATAGACTTGGTGCCTCTCCCAGGAAAAGGCACTGAGCAGACCCAAGCTCCTTGGGCAAAGCCAGCTTCTCTCTGCAGCGCTGTCACGCCCAGCCCAACGCAGCCCTGGGCACTCATCAGTGCCATCACAGCTCCCATATGATTATGGCCAAAGGAATCTTCCTTACAGCACTTAAACTTGCCATTTAAACCAGAAAATCTGCTGTGGCAGAGCTGCAGGAGGAGCCAGAATTAACCAGAGTGCTGGAGAGGCAGAAGCAAGTGCAGGATCAGACTGTGAGGAAGGAAAGGAGGGATCCTTCATAATGGATCTGTGAACCACAGGCTTCAATTTAATTTAGCAACCCATCAATCAAGCTGTGGGTGTCGCAGCAAAGAGCCGGAGCCGGGACGGTTTCAGTAGAGGGCACTCAAGCCCCAGAAATCTGCATTTACCAGGTATATTCACTCTGGTATTTTAGGAGACGACTTCAGCACATGAATCTCGGTAACGTGAGCACTGAGCCTCATAACTCACATTGATTGTGGTTCTATTACACCTGATGCATATAAATCTAAACAAAACACATGTGGATGGAGCTAATTCCAAACGAGCCAGTTTAGATACCATTAAAAAAAATAAAGAGAAGCCTCTTTTTCTTCATTAGTATTGAAAAATGCTATAGCTGTAGAAACGCTCATGTTTCTTTCTGCCAGTTCATGCTTCTGCTGATGTTCTAAAGCATTAGTCTGATTTGAAAATGTCTTTCGTCAATCTGTGTTTTCCTCTAGATATTAATAATCTCAACATTTTTTCAATTTTTGCAATTTGGTTCCCTCTCATACTCAAGAATTCTTACATCCCAAGTCTTCAGAACAGCCATAAATCTACAGCTTTATTTGCAGATGAGGGAACTGAGGTTTTTATGTACATAAAAAAACCCTTAAGATGCACACAATTACCAGTCCGACCTGTCAAATACCTGGAGCTCCAAATATCAGTTGTATTCACTGTAAAAAGGCAGCACGTAAAACTAACACATCCAAATATCCTCACAACAAACTCAGAATAACCAATTGACTTCTCCTCACTGGTACACCATGTTCACAAGTTATAAATACAGCAGAGAGCTTGCACTAATTGATACACTCTGAAATGATGAATTACCACATTAAAGCTATTTTCACAGCACTTATGAACTGGGCAAATATCTTGTATTTTTAGCATCACTGTAACAAGTTGTCCAATGCTAAAGCCCTTCCACGACCTTTGATCCTCCTTCAGCAAGGCACATCCACAGGTTCCTGAACAAAGTTCCAGCTGAGCCCACCCCCCAGGCCCCGTCACTCAGCCCAGCATCCCCCGAGCAGGGTGGGCAGCACTCACCCTGCAGCAGCGCTGAGCCACAGCTCTGGCAGCCTCCCAGGCACGTCCTTCTCCTGCCCAGCCATCCCAGGCACGTCCTTCTCCTGCCCAGCCATCTTGTCTGTGCTGTAATTACCAGTAAGGACCTGGCTCTGGCTCCAGCTGGGAGCCTGGGCTGGGGCTGATGGTCACTGCTCACAGGTGTGGGCCTGCAGCTGCGTCCACGAGCAACAGGTGAAGTCAAACAGTCTTTGTGTGGGGAGAAAAAACCTAAGGCACTGTGGTGCAACACCTTAGAGCAGTTTCAAAAATGCCCTCTTTGCAATCCCGCCGCGGAACAGCCTCGGATCCCCAGGATGCTGCTGTAAGAGAGAGAGAGGAACATCAGCATCACACGTGAGGGACAGGCTGGGTGGCAGTGTGGGGACTGTGGAACACAAAGAAAGGGAGACACAGCCATGATGGGCTGTCCTGCTGGATGCCCTCGGATTGCTTTGGGAAGGAAAGGCCACACAAACCCACGTGAGGGGATGTGCAGCCACAGAGTGCTCCTTAGCCACCTGCTTTGGTAACTCCTGGGACAGGACTGCTCCTGTCCTGCTCTCTCTGACCTACATGCACGAGATTAGGGTTATCCATGACCTCCATAAACCCATCAGACATTAATCAAATGAGATAATACAAAATAAACTATTTGTGCTGGCCCTGCAGAAGGATCCAGTGGCTGAAGTACAGGCTGAAGCCTTATCAGTGCCTGGTGCCAGCAGAAAGGTAAGCAGCAGCATGCAAAGTACAGAATATTTCATCCCAGCTACATTCAATTTAAACACTCCACAAAATCAAACCTCTTCTCTGTGTGCTGGAGTCTGCAAAGAACAGTCACAGGTGAAACAGCCCTTTCTACCTGCTCCCTACCCATAGGTTTGTGGGACTTTTTTTATCCCCAGGTGCAAAGACTTACCAGGTTGTGACATTTAATTTTATAACAAGTTCACAGAAACAGCTGTCCTTTGCCTAAGCAGTAAGTAAAGAAATTTTCTTCTATGCCCTTTTGTTAAATCTTATCCATTTTGGTGTCAGGAGGGATAAAAATACCCTTAACACAAGCCACCCTTTTCTGTATCCATCTTTGGCACTGGCAGGAAGGTTCCTGCTGGAGGCTGGAGCTTCAGCCCTGCCCTCAATCAACACCAACAAGCATCTCTGAGACTGAGCTTGTGCCTGGTGCTGGAGGAGGCTGAGCAGCACCTCTGGCTCGATGCTTAGGTAGGAGTAAGAAGTCCCCTCCACCGTGGCACAGTGCTGAGACCCCAGGGCTCAGGGGCACCTGCCCATCGCCTCAGGAGAGGCACCAGTTACACCACGGGGAAGGCACGGCAGCACCTCTGGGAGGGGCTGGTCCTGCCCTGGGTGTGCAGATCCCCCAGAGACTCCTCCGGCTTTTCCTTAGGATTCCGTGCTGGTGATGGCTGTCAGACACCCTGGCCAATCCCCCACTGCACAAACAGAGACCAGTCACCACACACCCCTGCCACGGGCACCAGA